AACAGACCCTACCACTCAACAATGAATTTCATTCGCTGCCAATATTCATTCACTATCCTTCGGTCTGCAATTCGCTGTATAAGGGGTACCCGGCATCGTGGCAAAGTAGTTGACTATTCAGATTTTGACAGAGTGGCCTCTGATGCCTACATTGGTATTTCTTAGATTTATTCCTTTTTTAAAATTTTTATTCTATTATTATTATTATCATTATCATTATTATTATCAATATTATTATTATTATTATTATTATTATTATTATTATTAGTATTACTATTATTATTATTTTTTTCCTTATCACTTTGTGTATCTTTCTTTACCTTAACCAATCTTTCACCTGTTCTTTGTTTTCTTCCTTATATTCCTTTCCTTAACCTACATGTTTATTTCTACCCTTTTTTATAATAAATTTTTTGAGGGCTCTGTTCCCTTTTCAACTGTGCTATAGCCTTGGATATTTTTTAGATTTTGGCTTATTTTTTAAATGGCCGTAACTCGAAAAATTAAAGTCGGAATTAGCTCAAACTTGCTACGTAGCATACGGACATCAATATATATCAGAAAATGTAATAAAAATTTTTGGTGATTTTGGAGCCATTTTCTGGAAAAAACCATATGAGCAAAGGGTGAGGGAAGTAGAGCATTCCTCCTTCACTCCCCTTATTTTCTCCACCTCGGGCGGCTGTAGCCCCCTCACCACCTCCTTCCTCAAGAGACTCTCTCTCCTCTACACTGACAAATTTAACAGACCCTACCACTCAACAATGAATTTCATTCGCTGCCAATATTCATTCACTATCCTTCGGTCTGCAATTCGCTGTATAAGGGGTACCCGGCATTGTGGCAAAGTAGTTGACTATTCAGATTTTGACAGAGCGGCCTCTGATACCCACATTGGTATTTCTTAGATTTATTCTTTTTTTTTAATTTTTATTCTATTATTATTATCATTATCATTATTATTATCAATATTATTATTATTATTATTTTTTTCCTTATCACTTTGTGTATCTTTCTTTACCTTAACCAATCTTTAACCTGTTCTTTGTTTTCTTCCTTATATTCCTTTCCTTAACCTACATGTTTATTTCTACCCTTTTTCATAATAAATTTTTTGAGGGCTCAGTTCCCTTTTCAACTGTGTTATAGCCTTGGGTATTTTTCAAAATTTGGCGTTTTCATAAAATGGCCATAACTCAAAAAATTGAAGTCAGAATTAGCTCAAACTTTCTACACAGCATAAGGACATCAATATGTATCATAAATTTAATGAAAATT